TTTAGTCTTTGCAACTTTACAGATCTTCTTTATGCACCAAGAGCTTGTAACACTCCAAAGAGAAAGGAAAAATTGAAATCGCATCATATGACCCCTTTAACATTTTGTTCGAAATTCAATTTCTACGTTTTTACAGATGGTGCTGTCACTAACCTGTGATCACCTGACCCTCTGTGTAGTTTGAGACTTCTGCAGTAACAGTATATGGAGGTTCTAATGTAGCGGCATCAACCCCATGTCCAGGAGTCATAGTACGTGCATGCCTGAGACACCAGTCCACTGCTGAATGCAGTTACAGCATGAAGATTCAGCCCAAAAACCAGGATGAGAAACTGTATATGCATCTGACAGGATAAATAAAAAAGATTTACATTTTAATAGCACATTGATAACAATTATAAAAAATAACACTGTGATTATTGACATTTTAATGGAAACAAAAAAAGTTAAGTGCAATATATTGGTTCCAATAGAAGCTACAAACCTTCACAAAATCAAACAGCGATGTTGTGCTGCTTTCCAGAAAATGTCACTATAGCTGATGTGCATCAGGAATAAGAGGGTTTTATATGTGCTTGATATCTGGAAGGTAAACAATGAGCAGATAGTAGCCTAAACTGTCCTTATTGCTATGGGAAAATTATAAAGGAAAGGTGGAAGATTTGTGAAATATAAGGAAGTAAAATCGCTGAATAATTAATACATAAATAGATAATATAGATCATAAAAAAGATAATAATGGATGTATAGAGTTCAGTGTTTATATAAAACTAACAGTGATCAGAATGTGCATCTTGGTGTTATAAATATTCTATTTACATACCACACATGAATACATTTTATTGGACAAAATTCTAGCCTGATTCATCACGTGTAAATGGGTTTCTTGGCCCACTTTCAGTCATGTAACTGAACACACAGGCGTACTCTGGTCTTAGCTTTTAAGACAAGAACACTTTGCAGAACCATGTATAATATAGCACATCATTTAGCAGTTCAGTAAACTAGTGCGTCAGTTTCAGCAGTTTTAAGCAGCATTTTTCAAATAAAGCTTTAAGAACTTTTCAAAACAGCAAGCATCAAGTGTATAACTATAAAGTTGAACAGCATGGTGCATTTTATTTACATTTTATTATAGACCTACTATTTGTTAAAACTAGATTCTATGTATTTATTATTACAGTATATTTTAATAGCCATGTGTGAGGACATGGACTACAGTATGCACGTTCTAAAACACACTTAGCACATGATTTTGTGGCTTTTGGGACAATTTCTAAGATAAGTGTTAGGATATATTTAGCGGAACATGAAATTTTGACGTGCTTGAAATATAAAGAAAGCTTTGCTCTGTTTGAAATCTAAATACTGGCTGAATGAGAGTAAATGTCTCAATCACAATACATTTACAAGGAAAAACCTGAAAACTACAACACAGCATGAAGTTGGGACACACGCAACGCATTCACAATCACAAACAGGCGTTTTTACACCCACATGAAATTCAATCAGTTTGTACTTATGGGATAGACATTTCCTTACTTGTCAAGAAAGAGCCTTCAAACAACTGCACAATCCTACTGCTGCTTCTGGAGGAGCAAACATCTCACTCTTACACAGTAAGTTTTACTTTGCTGTCTTATCAATCAAACTGAACATTCAGTAATTAAAAAATAAATAAAATAAATAAATAGAAGAAAGAGGTAAATTATACATTTTCAAATATATTCTATTGGTTCCATTACTTCATAATGGATTGCTACGAAGATACACATGTATGGAAACAAACTTTAAAGTAATTTATTTATTTTGCTTCATTATCTTTAAGTTCTCAGTTCTCTAACTATGTTTACAATTTAATGCTGTTCAATCAATCAAGCAATCAATCAAATCAAATAAATAAGCATTTATTATTATTGGTTTTAAGATGCACGTTCGAATTCTCCTGCTGTTGTGTGTGTGTTGGGCGAGGAGGGTCACGGCTTTCCCCGATGGGCAAGTGGAGGAGTCCTGTCAAAGCATGGCCACCAATCACACTCACTTTGAGTCCCAAATAAGCAGCTCTCCTTACAAAGTCTCTGTGAACAGCACCACATTCACACCAGGACAAACCATCACTGGTGAGGGCAGTTTCTAACTACTGCTGCTCTTTAAGGGTTTTTAGATAATAGGTTTTTATTGGTAATCTATTGTTAAAGGAATAGTTCACAAAACATGAAAATTTGCTTAAAATGTACTTACCCTCAGGTAATCAAAAATGTAGATGAATTTGTTTCTTCATTAGAACAGGTTCTGAGAAATTTAGCATTACATCATTTGCTCACCAAGGGGTCCTCTGTAGTGAATATCTATTGTACACATCGGTGAATTGGTGCTAATTTGTATGAATTTGTACAATGTCAATCACATGTTTTCATACGACCTGCTTAAAAAAAGTTTTCTAAAAATGTTGTTTTTATAAGAATTTCAATATGAATTCAATACGAACACCTCGTAAAATAGTCATGTTTTTCTGTCAGATGAACTTGGTAATTTCATGGTCTACATTATTTATTATTATTTTTTTAATTAATGAAAATAGAACAAATAACAAACAGAGCATAGCATAAGACAGTCAGTGCTATACAAAGTGTGACATGAATTAGTAACGGGAACTGAAAATAATGTCATAATATTTTAGACATGTTAATGACTTTTTGTTTTTTAACAATTTCAGAGAAGATATAAAACAATAAAATTCCACTAAAAATACCTTAAATATTGTGGATGAATTTAAGCATTTTTGTTTATGTATATAAAATTTTGCCAGCAATATGAATAAATTAACAATTTATTCAAGACCTTTGTTAACATTGTTTTCATAGTACACAATAATATCCTTTAAAGAAAAACAGTATTTATCCTTTACTAGATTAAAAATAAATTCAGTCAATTCCTTCCAAAAATTTTGGGTAATTTTACAATCAAAAAATAAATGTGATAACACCTCTTTCTCATTTTTACAAAAGGAGCATAAATCATCAATATCAGAGTATCTTGAAATTATTGATTTAACAGGGTAGATGGTATGCAAAATTTTAAAATGTATTTCTTTAGTTTTGTTATTGATACAATATTTAAAGGGAATTAACCAAGCAGTCTTCCAATTAATATTATCAATAATAGAGTTCCAAAAGAATTTTCCTCTAGGTGTTATTTTATTTTGTTTTTGGAAAACAGTACAAATATGTTTGTTATTGCATTTTTTATCAATCAGTTCAAGACCGTTTAAAATTAATTTCTGAAGAGGGTTCAAAGTATCAGGGATGGGGGAGCAAATGTTGTTCTTTATAAGTTTCTCAAAGACCTTCATGACTATTGACGTGAGGGCAACTGGACGATAGTCATTCAGGCAAGAGGGGTTATTGTTCTTAGGCACAGGGATGATGACAGATTTTTTAAAGGGGTTGGGGACCACCGAGATAGCAAGGGACTCATTAAAGATGGATGTAAACAAGCCAGCGAGCTGATCAGCACAGAGCAACACCTTGCTACGTGTACTGCGTTAGGCTAACCGAGACTTGTCGTTTGCACTTATATATTGTTGCTGTTTTGTTAGTTTTGACTGCTTTTATTGTCCTCATTTGTAAGTCGCTTTGGATAAAAGCGTCTGCTAAATGACAATGTAAATGTAAAATATTTAATACATAATATGGTAATAAATATTTATGGCCAGTACATTTTCTTATTTCACCTGCCAAAAAGTTAATTTTGGGCCCTGAACGAAAATCTGTGACAACTATGAGTGTAGAATAAAACCAACAGGAAGTCAGATATGGAGCCTACCGATTTAATGAGACGATCCAAGTCTTCCACTTCAAATGTATATGGATTCATGTGATTCAGATGTTCAAACTGTTTCAGAAGTGCTTTGTGGTCCACTGTCATACCTTTAGGGAAATTAAGAGCATCTCATTTTTCATTTACGTTTCTTGTCTTTGCAGCAGGCCAGAGTTACAGGTTTATAAAGTAAACTGTGATATGGGGAGTTTGATGAATGACACTCTCAGATACAACATTCCATATCCTTGGAAAATCTGTGCTCTGTGAGCCTGGCGATGGTAAATGAAACAAAGAAACAAGATGGTGGAGGACATTTCACAATATGCTCTAGTGCAAATGTGAGCCACAAAACAATAACAGAAACAAGTTTGCCTTTGATGCCTTTTTCTCCATTCATGTCTTGTTTGACTTTGATTAGGGTACGCAGTCTGTTCACTTCTTGCCTCTTTAGCTCATCAAGTTTAGTTCGCACGTGATGGCTGACAAAGTCCAACTCTTTAGCCAGTTTCCCTTGCTGTTTTCACCAAACGGAGAATGAGAGGTAAGCAATGGGGTGTTTAGATAATCTGATTAAGCCTCTGCAAAGTAGAATTGGGAAGTAAAGCAGTGCAATACCTTGATGTCTTCCATGTCTGTGTTATGAAGTTTCTCTCTGAAATGTGGGTCCTTTTCCAGGAAATCAATAACCTCTCTGAGATATCGATCATAGTGCAATCCAGTGTCCTAAATGAATTTAAATTAGATGTACAGAGTGAAGTGAGGAAAAAACACTAGGGAGACTAAATCTTTTTATACCTATGTGTTAAGGAACATTTGCAAAAGGACAAGCAATCAGTTAGTCTATGTATGTTGAACACTCCTTTCTCCTTTTATGGCACAGCTTATTATAAGCATCACGTTATATGTGATGCTTGCTTACCAAACCTGTCTGAAGTTTTCACACTACATATTAGAGAGAAGCATCACACCCATTTTAACCCTAGACTAACATGTCTCTATTAGTATAAAGGCATGTTTTCATAAGTTGTTTAAAAAAATCATATTACTACTTACTACACTTTCAGGTGGCTCTAGATCCTCTACTGGAGGGCTCACTTTAGTCTTATCCACAGCAACTGGCAGTGCATCCAAACAAGCCCACAGACACAGTATCAAGCAGAAGTGTGATGGTCCCCACATCTGTGAAAGGACAAGAACATCACCATTGTCATTTCTGATATAGATAACTATCTAGATGGAATTTCTGCATTTGTGTAAATTATCTATTAAGTTTAATTATTAATTATTTATATGTTACTTTATGATAGAATTATATCTTAAATGATCTATAAATATATAGTTATCGCTTTAAACAAATATGTAATTTATTATGTTTTAATAATAATGATAATATTTAATATGATATATTAATATTATTTAATTGTATATTATTAATATATATAGTAATATTATATATTATTATTGTTGTTATTAGAATCAAATATAACTTATGAGTGAATCTATCTACACACATACATAGGTGTATAAAGGCCTTTATATATATACTAAAGAGCGATAACTATATAGTTCTAGATAACATTTCATACAAACTAAAATACAACTACAAATTATGGCTATTTTTATTTATTTTTTTTATTTATTTTTTTTATTTTATTTTTTTTTTAATGAAAATAGAACAAATAACAAACAGAGCATAGCATAAGACAGTCAGTGCTATACAAAGTGTGACATTAATTAGTAACGGGAACTGAAAATAATGTCATAATATTTTAAACATGTTAATGACTTTTTGTTTTTTAACAATTTCAGAGAAGATATAAAACAATCAAATTCCACTAAAAATACCTTAAATATTGGGGATGAATTTAAGCATTTTTGTTTATGTATATAAAATTTTGCCAGCAATATGAATAAATTAACAATGTATTCAAGACCTTTGTTAACATTGTTTTCATAGTACACAATAATATCCTTTAAAGAAAAACAGTATTTATCCTTTACTAGATTAAAAATAAATTCTGCCAATTCCTTCCAAAAATTTTGGGTAATTTTACAATCAAAAAATAAATGTGATAACACCTCTTTCTCATTTTTACAAAGGGAGCATAAATCATCAATATCAGAGTATCTTGAAATTATTGATTTAACAGGGTAGATGGTATGCAAAATTTTAAAATGTATTTCTTTAGTTTTGTTATTGATACAATATTTAAAGGGAATTAACCAAGCAGTCTTCCAATTAATATTATCAATAATAGAGTTCCAAAAGAATTTTCCTCTAGGTGTTATTTTATTTTGTTTTTGGAAAACCGTACATATGTTTGTTATTGCATTTTTTATCAATCAGTTCAAGACCGTTTAAAATTAATTTTGGTTTTGTAGAGTTAGTAGAGTTATAGTGAATATGACTTTTAACAAGATGAACAAGAGTAGGAGGAATAGCTTTATTAAATTCCTTAAATTCCTTAAAATGCACAGGGAAACTGTGGATTCGCATGAATTGTTCATAAGTTAAAAGATTCCCATAATTATCAAACATATTCATAAGATGATTAATATCCCTGTTAAACCAATTCCTTAAAAATAAAGATTTATTGGCAGTCGTTATATTGGCATTATTCCAAATGAAGGAGGTGTGAGGAGAGAAATTGTGTGAGTAGCAAATTTTCCAGGCTAAAAGCACTTGCTGGTGGAATTTGGACAATTTAAGAGGGAGTTTAGAAATATTAAAGTCACAAGTTAACAGAAATTCTAAGCCACCTATTTGGTTAAAGAGACTGTGTGGGATGTGGTTCCAAAGGGAGTTACGATTAATCAAACATTTTTTCATCCAATTGACTTTAAAAGTTCTATTAACATCTTCAAAATAAAGTATTTCCAGACCCCCTTCAGCTTTCTTATTAGTAAGAACCCTTTTCTTAAGTCTTTGGGATTTGTTTTTCCAAATAAAAGAATAAAACAAATTATTGATATCTTTACAATAAGAATCTTTAACATACAGAGATAGGAAGCCATTGTAGTTTCCTCAGTGATAAAAAGCGCATGGTTACGTAAGCAGCAGGGGTCAACTCTCGTTATGTCAACAGACCTGGAGGGGTCAATACTCATCTCTGTGTTTAACTCTCAGTAACCCTGCAGGTGACGGAGAATGCCTCCGAATTCCAAGGCTTCATGTTACAGGCTCGAGAAGTGGACGGAAAAACTGCAGTGGGACGCTTTACATCAATAAATAACAACCAATCCCGTGCCCTGAACTGCTTCAACATAGAGGTGCTTTATTGTTATTTTAAAATGGAGTTAATGCATTACATTTCTCATTCCTATTCAATGCAGACATTTAAATATTAGCCGGAGTATTTGCTTTAACGCTAAAATGAGGCATGAGTCATGGAAACGCTCTGATTTTGGCTCTCAGAACTCAACGCTCAGCCAAGCATCTGCAGACAAGAAATCCCAGTTTGAGGCTACATGGGAAGCACCAGCAAACACCTCCTTGGGTGATATTCAGTTCTTGTATGTGTTTAACTCTTGTTTAAAGAGGCAAATTATACACTTGTAATCTCTGAAAATTAAACACTTGATCATAATTCTCCATGATTTTAATGCCCTTACAGTGTGACATTTGTCAAAGACTATACAGCTTTTTGGACCATGGTGAACAGCTCTACAGTTCGGTCAATTGGCAATCAGTCCCCTCCGAGCACATCACCATCACCTCACAAAACTACATCTACAATAATAAAACCACCAGCTGCTTCTCAGCAAACTAGTTCTTTACCAGTGAGTATTCTAATAGACATGCTCCCATTTTCTCATAATCAGGTGCTTGAATGTTGTTTTGTTTTTTTCCAGAGTTCCAGCCACAAAAACAGACATTTGAGTGTGATGTGGCTCAGTGTGATTCTCCATGCACTCATTTTGCACTCGCTTTTACTTTTGATCAAACTTTGATCAGTATAAATAGTTTTACAGACTATATCAGACACTGATGTTTTAGATTAAAAGTAATAAAACTGAAAATAAAAGTTTTATAGCATTTATAGAATATAGCCACACAAATAACTATGGAGAATGTGAATACTTTAAATATGTAATAAAATAAATAATTGGCAACAAAAACGTCTGCGCTTTCTGAATTAAAAACAAAAGTTTATAAAGTTAAAAAATAACTTTTTCCAGATACACAGTCTTTAAACATTCTTTTTATTTCACATTTATCCGTTTTTAGTTTTCCTAATTATTCAGTCATTTTGAAACATGCAAACAAAAACATTTAGTGAGTTTCAAAAGTAGCATCCTAGCCTTACATCAGTGTGAAAGATGTTTGTGTGCAAAGAAGTAGGACAAACACTACACATGAACTAATTATAGATTACACTAGACACGTTCTGAATATTCTGACAGAATAACATCAACATTTTAATGACGTACCTCAATTCAGCTACATAAAGGGCAAACTCACAGTCTCTAGAAGTCTAGTAGAAGCTGGATGGTAAGGGAGGGGACATGAGGAACAAGGAAATCTCACTAATTCTAAAGTACGGGAAGTTGTTTTGTACTTCACACTTTTTTAGCTATGAGCTCAGGGCTGTAACGTGTCCTCAGACCTGTTTAGGTAAACAGCACACAAACATGACTGCACAGGAACACTTGTGGAAGACAAGGGTGCGTGATCTCTGCTCACAGATCATGAAGAACCTCAAGCACGGCGGCAAGAGACCAGGCCTGAGTTTCACAGCTAAAAGAGCAGTACTGGCCATTCTCATTAGTGAGCTCTGGCAGTCCCTTCCAGGATGACCTGAGGAACAGAAGACAGATATATTAGATCCTGATTTCATGGTCACATTATGCAGATCTGTTTTTACAAGCCATAATCATTTTGCAATCATTTATTATTCCTTAAACACTTAAAATGTTCAGCATAGCTGTTGAAACCGCATCTATTTGGTGACTATAGTGGGACTGAAATTACACACACACACAAAAATCTGTGTACAAACTTCAAATTTTACTAAATAATATTTGCATTATTCCAGCTATATAAGTCATGACACCGGTGATTTTAAAAACCATTCTGGTCAACCAATAATTAAGAGATGGTATGTGACCCTGGACCACAAACCAGTCTTAAATCGCTTGGGTATATTTGTAGCAATACCCAAAAAAACATTGTATGGGTCAAAATTATCGATTTTTCTTTTATGCCAAACATCATTAGGATATTAAGTAAAGATCATGTTCCATGAAGATATTTTGTAAATTTCCTACCGTAAATATATCAAAACTTAATTTTTGATTAGTAATATGCATTGCTAAGAACTTAATTCGGACAATTTTAAAGGCGATTTTCTCAATATTTTGATTTTTTTTGCACCCTCAGATTCCAGATTTTCAAAGAGTTGTATCTCAGCCAAATATTGTCCTATCCTAACAGACCATACAGCAATGGAAAGCTTATTTATTCAGCTCAATTTAAAAAAATAGACCCTTATGACTGGTTTTGTGGTCCAGGGTCACATATTGTTTACTGGTTCTGAGGGCAATAATTGTTCATGCAGTGTTTACCTTTCCATGTGGACATAATGGCGAGAGAGGACATTCTTCACCAAATACACTGTTTTGTCATAGGTGTCTTTTCCAAGCTTCTTTGCAAAGTTGATCTTTGCACGGAGGAAGTAACCGATAGGCCAGAGCCACTCCTGATGCGGGTAAATGAATATAAAGGTTAGGAATCCTAAAAAAAGCTGAAATTGTGCTGATGAAGCAGTACAAAAGGATCTTACAGGGCCTTGATGGTAGTTGAAGCCCCTGGCAAGGTTGTAGTTGTCATTGTCCAGAGAATTGTCATAAACGCCACAGTAAACCATGTCACTATTAAAACAAACAAATCATGAGTCGCACACAGGAAGCAGGAAGAATGTTACAGGTAATGCAGTAGAATTAAATTTTAGGACTCTCACTCTGGGTCTAAGGTCTTCATCCCAAGAGGTCCAAGAAGTTTGTCTTCTGCAATGTTCAGTGCTTCCCAAGCGTGCTCCACAGTAAACAGCTCTGGAGCCTAGGAAGGAAAACCATTAGAAATATACTAATTACAAACTATTAAGCTTTTACTCACTAAGGCCTGGGACACACTAGATGATTTTCAAATCTTAACCGATTTTATAACCATGGAAGAACAC